TCTCTATAAAAGTCAATTACAGCTGGAATAATGTAACATATATCCATTCTAATCGTGTGCCAAGCAGTAACACATGCATTGTTCTAACGTCTTGTAAATTGTGAGGCAGCCAAAAGGGCACCGAGGATACGGAAGAGAGAAGAATGCATATAGTTACAAGGTGCAGGGTTCAAGTCATTTCCTCACAGTACAGCCCTCCTGTAAAGAATCTGGTCTTCCCTTTAAATTTCTCTGTATCACTGATATATTCTATGTGGAGCCCCCCCCCCCCCCTCTTTGTGCCTTGATGCTACTCAAAGTTATGCGCAACCAGGGATATAATATACTATCTACTTGCAGATCTTAATACTGACAGCTCTGTCTGTAACTGAAGAAGGGAGATTTGAGATACCCAATCCCTTTTAATAACGGACAACTATTCGAAGGACAGAGGGAGAAGATGGGAACTGGAATAGTGTTTTTGCCTGAGGCTGGTAATGTTGCAGGAAGTCTGAAGGATTATTGTGCACAAAGTAAAAAAAAAAAACAAACCAAAAAAACAAACAAAAAAAAACAGCCTAGCAGCGAATTAGATAAAGAAGTAGTTGAATTCAGGTACAAACCTACAGTTGTGTTCAAAATAATAGCAGTGTGTTGAAAAAAGTGAATAAAGCTGAAAATCCTTTCTAATGGCTTTTATTTCCATCCACACAAATGCATTGGGAACACGACACACATTCTATTCCAAATCACAACATGAAGAAAAATACATCAAATTTGTGTTGTTCCTCTAAAAAAATGGGAAGAAAAAGTGAATATTAGACGGTTCAAAAAAAATCGCAGTGTTTGTATTCTTCTTTACAAACTCAAACATTCACTATATAAAATCTGAGAAATGTTTGAAGATTTTGCTTTCCTTTGAATGACTTCAGGAATATTTGGTTGTAATCGCACTGTTTCTGAGAACTGCTGTACATCTGTGTTGCATGGAGTCACCCAACTTCTAGGCCCCTGTGATCAGGTATTCCAGGATGATTGGACCACATTCCACAGTTCTTCTCTATTTCTTGGTTTTGCCTCAGAAAACGGCATTTTTGATGTCACCCCCACAAGTTTTCTATTGGATGAAGATCCGGGGATTGGGCTGGCCCACTCCATAACGTCCATCTTGTTGGTCTGGAACCAAGAATGTTGCACGTTTACTGGTGTGTTTGGGGTCGTTGTCTTGTTGGAACACCCATTTCAAGGGCATTTCCTCTTCAGCATAAGGCAGCATGACCTCTTCAAGTATTCTGATGGATTCAAACTGATCCATGATCCCTGGTATGCGATAAATAGGCCCAACACCGTAGTATGAGAAACATCCCCATATCATGATGCTTGCACCACCATGCTTCACGGTCTTCACAATGTACTGTGGCTTGAATTCAGTGTTTGGGGGTCGTCTGACAAACTGTCTCCGCCCACTAGACCCAAAAAGAACAATCTTACTGTCATTAGTCCACAAAATGTTGCGCCATTTCTCTTTAGGCCAGTCAATGTGCTCTTTGGCAGATTGTAACCTCTTCAGCACACGTCTTTTTTCCACCAGTGGGACTTTGCGGGGGCTTCTTGCAGATAGCTTGGCTTCACATCGGCATCTTCTAATTGTAACAGTCCTCACAGGGAGCGTCACACCTTCTTTCATCTTCCTGGAGCTGATTGTTGGCTGAGTCCGCGCCATTTTGGCTATTCTTCTATCCATTCCAATGGTAGTTTTTCGCTTCCTTCTACGTCTTTCAGGTTTTGGTTGCCATTTTAAAACATTTGCGATCACTTTAGCTGAGCAGCCAATCATTTTCTGCACTTCTTTATATGTTTTCCCTCTCCAATCAACTTTTTAATCAAGGTACGCTGTTCTTCTGAACAATATCTGGAACGACCCATTTTCCTCAGAATTTCAGAGAGAAATGCACTGTAACCAGCATGTCCAACATTTGCTGCCTTCCTTCCTTAAATAAGGGCAATAATTGCCACCTGTTTTTCAAAGAATGAATGACCTCACTAATAGAACTCCACACTGCTATTATTTTGAACACGCCCCTTTCAATGAGTGATTCAATGACACAGAATCAGCAGCATGCATGTCATAACTGTTGGGTCTGTTGGATTTCTATGACTCTACTACACCTGCTAGGAAATTATCTGCCATGTAGAAATATCATTTCCACCAAAAACAGTGATTGATCCGGTTAGTGATGTCTGACTGCTATTATTTTGAACACAACTGTACGTCTGGGTGAACTATGAGTAAGCATGACTCCCAGAGCCGTGGATAAGGGGGTATTACCAGTCCTCCTGTATGGGGCCCAGGCCAGCAGGAGGGCCCAGGCAGCTGGGTGAATCAGATGTGGGCAGGGAGGGTGATGGGGATGGCGGGTGGGGCAATTACTGGAACCAATCCCCTGTATGGCTCTGCCTGCAGCAGCTGAAAGCCGGCTTCTTCTCCTCTCCCTCCCGCTGGCTTTCAGCTGCTGCAGAGACAGCCATACAGGGAAATGGTTCCAGTAATTTCCCCCACCGCTGCACCCTTCACCCTATCTGTGCACCATATGTTTCACCCTGCCACTTTCCCCTGTGTGCCCCCCTTACCCCCACAGTGCTACCGACTTCTCTCCTCTCCGTCCCACCAGCAGCTGCAAGCACATAATAAGATCCTTCAGGATGGAGAGTGGAGGAAGGGTGCGGTAAATAAGTCAAATTTACCAGCCCCTTCCTTTCCAGAATGAACACAGTGAGTAATTGGTACCGATCAGTGACTGTGTTCATTCATAAATAAAGCATTGTAAACTGTTTTTCTTGGGGTGGAGGGCCCTGTCAAGTTGGCTGTATGGGGCCCCGTGGTTTCTAACAGCAGCCCTGATGACTCCTACCGCTCCAGCTCCTAGGGTCTGAAACATGTTCGGGTAACAGAGCTAGACAGACTGATAGTGCAGAGCCCCCCACTCCCATCCTGCTGTACTGAGGACTATGGTACCATAATATCAGGAGAGTTTTTTTATACTGTTGTACTAACAGAAATTACAGATATGTTAATCAATCAGAGAGATTTACTAAAACCAGAGAGTGCAAAATCTGGTACAGCTGTGCCTGGTAGCCAATCAGCTTCTAACTCTAGCTTTTTGAATTAGGCTTTGGCAATAAAACCTGGAAGCTGATTGGTTTCTATGAAGAGCTGCACCAGATTTTGCACCATGCAGTTTTAGTAAATCAACCCTAATATGTAGCTGGACTCCAGCTTCATGGTAGAAGCTGCCGTGCTCTTCGCCTAAGTCAGAACACGTTCAGTATTTGCCGCCTGGAAATCATCAAAAAAGTTGTCACCTAGGGATTCCCAAGTTGGAAGTCAGCCTGCATCAAACGTTTTTTTCACACGGGCATTTTGCTTCACGGCAGGTTCCGATCACCTCTCCCTGATATACAGCATGGCTGAGGTTTCTCACAAGTCCAACTATAGACACTCATAGGAAGATGACCGCCGTAGAATAGAACTCTGCCTGAAGATGAAACTTCATTTTCGTCTGAAGACCATATCCATGGTAGAAGCTGCCATGCTCTTCGCCCGAGACAGAACACGTTCAGTATATGCTGTCCGAAAGTCATCAAAAACGTTGTTACCCAGGGATTCCCAGGTTGGAAGTCAGTTTCCATCAAACGTTTTTCACACAAGTCTAACTATAGACACTCACAGGTAGATGACCGCCGTAGAACAGAACTCTGCCTGAAGATGAAGCTTCATCTTTCATCTGAAGACAATATCCATGGTAGAAGCTACCATGCTCTTGGCCTGAGTCAGAACACGTTCAGTATATGCTGTCTGAAAGTCATCAAAAACATTATCACCTAGGGATTTCCAGGTTGGAAGTCGGCTTCCATCACACGTTTTTCACAGGGGCATTTTGCTTCACAGCATGTTCCGTTCACCTCTACCTGATATACAGCATGGCTGAGGTTTCCCACAAGTCTAACTATAGACGCTCACAGGAAGATGACCGCCGTAGAACAGAACTCTGCCTGAAGATGAAGCTTCATCTTTCATCTGAAAACAATATCTCGGGGAAAAGGATCTCTGAGAAGATCGGTATTTGCCTCCTAGCACTAAGCAAGGATAGACAGCTGGGTCTTCGCATCGAGATGGTGCTGACGGCATTGGTTCAAGTGGAGTAAAAACAGGAGGAAATGATACACAGACTGGCAAATCAGCTCCGGAGATGTTAAAGTAGATACCAGTTATTGTAATAATCCTCTAAAAAAAAAGGTAACTGATGGCTGCAGAAAAGGAATTTACTCATGAAACCAGAACGGTTCTTTCTCTACCTTCCTCTGAAGTAGATATAGAACAACATAGACACAATGCAAAGTTTGTTACGTGCAAAGAGATATAAGTAGCTCTTGCTAGAACAGTGGTTCTCAACCTGTGGGTCGCGACCCCTTTGGGGGTCGAACGACCCTTTCACAGGGGTCACCTAAGACCATCGGAAAACACATATTTCCGATGTATAAAGAGCAGCTACTGTGTAGAAAGCAGGTGCTGTGTTGAAAGCAGCTACTGTGTTTAAAAGCAGCTACTGTGTTGAAAGCAGCAGTATTGGAGGTAAAATGACACTTCATGAATTATAATTACTGGGTAAATAAATTTATGGTTGGGGGTCACCACATCATGAGGAACTGTATTAAAGGGTCGCGGCATTAGAAAGGTTGAGAACCACTGTGCAAGAAAGAGAGAAAAGCGAAGAACCGAGGACCAAGCCGATTACAGCACTTTCTCAATTCGGAGACAGGAAGGGTCTCTTGTCCGCCACACACTTACCTTCTTCAAACCCATCTCGGAAAGATCCGGAGCGGCTCATGGTTCGGGTCTTCTCATCCAATGACATGGAGCTGTTTCGGAAGCGGGTCTCGCCGTAGTGGTCACTTGAGCCATCGGCGTTGGACAGGCTGTGAGTTCGAAGCATTGCCGAGTTTGACAAACTCATCTGCGATGAAGCTGTTGGGCTCGCTGGAGGTAGAAAACACATAAAAAAAATAGTAAAATACAAGGGACCTATATCCTGCGCTGAGGACCAACGTCTAGTGTTTTAAATTTATTTATTTATTCGATTTTTTTCAGGTACTTATATAGCACCGTCAATTTACGCAGAGCTTTACATATATATTGTACATTCACATCAGTCCCCGCCCCCGAGGAGCGTACAATCTAAGGTCCCTAACTCCCATCATACATACACATACTAGGGACAATTTAAACAGGAACCAATTAACCTACCAGCATGTCTTTGGAGTGTGGGAGGAAACCGGAGTACCCGGAGGAAAGCCACACAGGCACAGGGAGAACATGCAAACTCCAGGCAGGTGGTGCCGTGGTTGGGATTCGAACCAACAACCCGAGTACTGCAAGGCTTAAAATTAATTTTCCGTGGATATACCCAAAGAAATGCAGTGAAAAATTCCAAGATTTGTGAATATTCCCAATAATGGCTGCTGTTCCTACATAAGGAGCTGACTCTCCTAAGTATGTAAGTGTTGGTAGGTGAGCGCTGCCTCATTGCATAGTCATAGACATAATACACACCAACATAAATGTATACATTATCACTATTAATAGTCCATAAAACGTGTGGAAAAGGTGCAGCCTCCTAATTGGTTCTTAATTAAAGCACATCCTGAGCTCCTCGCCAGTGGTTCCATTTACTCACCGACTTCAACGGACTCCTAAAACGAAGTAAGAGTCTACTGAGCTTAATTAGAAGGTTTCCGGTTCTGCTGGGACTTGTAGTTCTCCTCAGTATGGAGGCAAGCACAGTGGCTAAATGGTTAGCACTTCCGCCTGGTAGTACTAGGGTCGCTGGTTCGAATCCCAACCCCGGCACCACCTGCCTGGAGTTTGCATGTTCTCCCTGTGACTGTGTGGGTTTCCTCCCACACTCCAAAGACATGCTGGTAGGTGAACTGGCTCCTGTCTAAATTGTCCCTAGTATGTGTATGTATGAATGTGAGTTAGGGACCTTAGATTGTACGCCCCTTGAGGGTTAGGGACTGATGTGAATGTACAATATATATGGAAAGCGCGGAGTAAAGTGACGGCGCTATATAAGTACCTGAGGTAAATAAAAAAATTAATAAGTATGTTCTTCACATAAAGGGATATCAGGGATAACAGGATATGGATACTCATGTATAAGGAGTTAAGGAAGGAAGTCACATAGTGCGATTCCTCCCATGCCCGCCTCCAGGACTTCTCCAGGGTGTCACCCATCCTCTGGAACTCCCTGCCCCAACCCATCAGATTATGACCTACTCTCCTCTCCTTTAGGCGCACCCTGAAAACCCATCTCTTCAGGGAAGCCTACCCCACCCCCTGCTAATTCCCGATCTCCTCCACTCTTCCTACCACTCCATCCCCCACAGCTATCTCCTCCTGTGCCACCATCCCCTCCCTCCTAGATTGTAAGCTCCAAGGAGCAGGGCCCTCGATCCCCTCATGTTTTGCATTGTATTGGTATTGTTCTGTCACATGTTCTGTCCCCCTTTGTAATGTACAGCGCTGAGCCAACTATTGGCGCTTTATAAATACTGTATAATAATAATTAATTTTAAAAAAGCATTTCGCCCCTCCCATTGGGTGTCTTCAGAGGTTGAAGACGCCCAGTGGGAGGGGTGAACCGCGTCAGTGGCGAGCCGTGGTGACATCATATCCGGCCGGTGGAGCGCCCGTCGGTGTGTTACTTCTGGTCCAGCATTTTATGCTTGGAATAATTTATTTGCTGTGAGAGTATACTATTCGATTTTTTTATTAATACAGGCGTACCTCGGTTTACGAATTTAATGCGTTCTGCGGGACTTTTCGTATTGAGAAAAATTTGTAAACCGAAACGCGGTTTCCCATAGGAATGCACTGAAAACCAATTAATCCGTTCCGGAGGTCAGAAAAATATAAAAAAAAGTCTTATCTGTTCAAAACTCTTTATAAAGTGCACTTTAAAGGCATAAATACTGTACAGGGACATGATAAAAAATTAATTTGTAAATGCATTGAAAACCAATTAATCCGTTCGTATTGCCAAACAAATTCATAAATGCACTGAAAATCAATTAATCCATTCCGAAGGTCCGAAAAAAGTAAAAAAAAAATGTATCTGTGCAAAACTCTTTATAAAGTGCACTTTAAAGACATAAATACTGTACAGGGACATTAAAAAAAAAAAAATTGTAAATGTATTGAAAACCAATTAATCCGTTCGTATTGCCAAAAAAAATTTGTAAATGCATTGAAAATCAATTAATCCGTTCCGGAGGTCATAAAAAGTCAAAAAATGTCTATCTGTTCAAAACTCTTTATAAAGTGCACTTTAAAGGCATAAATACTGTACGGGGACACGATTAAAAAAAATTGTAAATGCATTGAAAACCAATTAATCCGTTCGTATTGCCAAAAAAAAATCGTAAACCGAGCCATTATTTTCAATGGATTTTCATTCGTAAACCAAAAATTATGTTAACCGAGGCGTTCGTAAACCGAGGTACGCCTGTATATGGAATCACACTACGTGGCTACCTTCCTTTGCTCTTTATACATGAGTATCCATATCCTTTGGACCATGGAAATGGAATATACTGTTACGTGCAGGGACTGACCATTTGGAAACTCGGGCACTGCCCGAGTGCCCTGGGGTCAGTAGGGGGCCCCATGAGATGCCCCTGGTACCTTTTTCATAGGCTTTTTTGAGTTTGGGCAAGGACACAGGGTACCCATGATCCCCTATTGCCCGGGGGCCCCATGAGTTGTCAGTCCGCCCCTGGTTACGTGAAGAACATATCTTTACCGAGGAGAACTCCAAGCCCCAGAAGAACCAGAAACCTTCTAATTAAGCGCAATAGACACTTTGTTTTAAGAATTTAACAGTTTCTTCATGAAAAAAAATGACTGACCTTCCATTGAGTTAGTATTCTTTAGTGTTTTATACCGAAGCCCCGCAGAGATATGTCAAAGCACACCATGAGAGCTGGTCATTCTTTCACTCTAGTACAGGGGCCTCTAAACTTGCTAAGCAAAGGACCAGTTTACTGTCCTTCAAGCTTTGGGCAGGCCCCACTGTGGTCAGTTGGAGCAAGCAATGCCCCGTCATTGGTTTTAATGGGAGAAATAGTGCCCCTTGTTGGTATCAGTGGGAGGAATAGTGCAACATTAACTGTGAGTGAGAGGAATGGTGTCCCATCATTGGTTTCAGTTGGAGGAGTAGTGCTCCAAGGGCCAGACAAAGGAAAGCAAGGGGCCACATCCAGTCCCAAGGCTGTAGTTTGGAGAACAATGCTCTAGTACAGTGAATGTAGCTAACAAGACTGTGTAAGTTAGGAAAGAAAGCAACCACCCCAGTGTCAACATTATCTCAGGGGCGGGGTTTATTCCAGTTGGACATCAGTCATCTATTATTATGGTTACTGTAGACCAGAGGTGTCAATGTCACTTACCAAGCTGAGAGAAATTAAATCTAGTTCCACATGGAGACGTAATGCTGGAGCCAGGTGAAAATGGAGAGCTACTGGCCGTGTCTTGTAGCCCTCCTGCCGAATGAGAACGCAGCCATTCCTTGGTGTCATCCTGACTTCGGAGCTGAGAGGACGGTGCATACCTGGGTGAAGCCAGGACAATGGGTTCATAATATTTCATCAACAACCATAAGACATCATCAACAACCATGCACAACCTTCAAATGTGGATAACTCCAACCAAACAGTCATTAAAACTTAAAACAGAACACTGAAATGTGCCTCAAACTTTCCAAAGACTAAAGATTTATAGACGACAAGGTTCAACAACCATACTGGTCAATGAACCCAAACTTCTTGGAATTGTTCCTATTTCAGACATACAAAGACGCCTGGATCTGGTCATTCAGAGTGGGCCCTTGTTTAGGGTGGCAACTGGTTTTTTTTAAGGATACAATTTTACCCAGAACTAAAATTTTGATGAGATTTTTTAGTCATGTTGAAATCTGGCATAATCCTTATTTTCTATGTAGGGGAGATGGAGAAGAACTCAAAGTGCCATAACAGAAATAAGGAAAATTGCCGTGAAATCGTTCTTTTTCCAGCCTCCATAAACATGTCCAATGTATACAGAGCTCTGTGGCCACAAAATGAAGATTTCATGGGGCGGCCCAGTTAAAGTGGCCTTTGCACATGACATAAATTTGGCCAGGTGTACAGAGGATTAACCTCAAAGGAAATAGGAAGGTTTTCAGCTGAAGAGGACAGGACCTGACTATCCAAAAATAACCAGTAGATACAATTCCAACAACACTGACCACAAGTGAAGTTAGTATTGTTTGCTACAGGAAAAATAAAGTTTCTCTACGACGATCTCTGAAAAAATTGTCAACTAGCAAATTCTTTTGAAAGCCCCCCCAAAAATTATGCAACAAAATGGAGAAAATTCAGTTATTTTTTTTTTTTTTTCCGAAATAACTGGCTACTGGTCCAAATTTGCTGGATTGGACAATTACAAAATTTGTTGATGCTCAATTTTGGAGAAGCGGTCTTAGAAATGACAATGCCATTTGGGTTTGTCATGGCCTTGGTGGTAATACAATGAGATTCTGGTTTCCATCACAGATCAATATTTTGGAAAAAAAAAAAAGTAGAATGGTCTGAAGAATGTAAAACTGGCCTGTAAATGTCTGGTGGTACCTGTTTGTAACCACAGCCGAACCAATCACTGATCATCTTACGTCGATCGGTATCTTAAAGCCTCAGTTCATCAAAAACAAGTGTATTTCAGTACCATCTATTGGTCTGCATTATTAACTAGCTTTTGGGAACTCCAGCTGGGAAATCTCCCTAACGCAGTTTTCAGCCGTGGCCCTGCTAGCCTTAGAGGTTTCTGCATCACTTTCCACCTTTTTGTTATGTTCTCAAGTACAATAGGAACCCAGGATGAAATATGGGAGACCCTCATAATGGTCATGGCAGAAATGCAGATACAGGAACTGACGTTTTGGGTTAGAAGTGTATCTAAACCCACGAACAAAAATGTATCTATTGCAGCTAACCAGTCTTAGATGTGGTAACTGCGTTAGCTTTTTTTTTTGCAGACTTTTTAACTTCATTTTCACTAAGTGATCTTGCCAGTAATGCACTCTCTGTTCCAGGGTAACAATGCTCCCTCTCTGTACTGTAGGTATGGAGGAACAACATTGTCATCCTATGACCGGAAGTGTGTTAGGACTACAAAACATTCCTCCTCCCCTCTACCCTAGTATCTACCAAAAAAACAATCAAGTTTTGAGTGGACTTGGAGTTAGAGCCTCTTTGAGTTAGAACCTCTAAAGCAGCATTTCTCAACCGTTTTGTATAACAGCAATCCTTGAGAAAAATTTTAGGTCTTGGAAAACCCTTGCTAGAACCAATTTATTGGGAGTCCATGGTAAACATGTCCCTTACATTGGTGGTCAGTGGGAATAATGTTCCTTAAATTGGTGGTCAGTGGGAAGAATGTCCCTTACATTGGAGGTCAGTGGGAAGAATGTCCCTTACATTGGAGGTCAGTGGGAAGAATGTTAATTACAGTGCTGGTCAGTGAGAGAAATGCCTCTCTTTAAATTGGTGGCCAGTGAGATAAATGCTCCTTACATTGGTGGTTGGTGGGAAGACTGTCCCTTACATTGGTGGTCAGTGAGATAAATGCTCCTTCCATTGGTGGTCAGCGGGAAGAATGTTTCCTTACATTGGGGATCAGTGGGAAGAATGTCCCTTACATCGGTGGTCAGCGGGAAGAATGTTCCTTACATTGGTGGTCAGTGGGAAGAATGCTCCTAACATTGGTGGTCAGTAGGAAGAATGTCCCTTACATTGGTGGTCAGTAGGAAGAATGTCCCTTACATTGGTGGTCAATGGGAAGAATATTTCTTACATTGATGGTTAGTGGAAAGAATGTTCCTTACACTGGTGGTTAGAGTGTCATTCTTACAGGCAGCTAAAAAGATAATTGGAGTCCTGCTCCTGACTCCACCAAGTGGAGTTGGCCCTGCTGGAAATATGTATTCACCATCAAATGGGATGTCACGTAGCCACCGCTCAAGGAACCCCTAACAACCACTAGAGCAGCCTTTCCCAACCCTAGGGTTCCTCCATGGGTTGCTAGGGGTTCCTTGAACAAAGAGTAATTTCGGCCAATCCGATAAGTTGTCACTGAAAACCAATGAACTTTTTAGGTATCTGTCAGAGTATTTCCACTGACCACAAATGTATGAATAATTCTTCTTGACTATCACACTAATGCACAGTGACTCAGTAATTTTTAGCAGGGGTTGTCTGAGACCGATGCATCATTTCAAGTGTACCTCTAGATGAACCCTTGAGTTCCACAGAACCTGGATGAGAATGGATGCTCTACCTCAGGGTTTTGAGTTTCTCAAACAGGGTTCCATGGAACCCTAGATTTCCTCCAGAAGTTGATAGGGGTTTCTTGAGCAACAAGCAATATCTGCCTCTCAGGTAAGTTCCCACTGATAGCATTGATCTTTTTAGCTATCTGCAGAGTTAATTCTTCTCAATGACCACAAGTGTGAGGAGCATTCAAGTTCATTCCACTGACCATCACTCGAATGTATCATGAGTTGTAGATATAGCAATTTTTAGCAGGGGATTGCCTGAGACTCAAAATATATTTTAAGGGTTCTTCTGTGTTGAAAAGGTTGAGAAAGGCTGCTCTATAGTGTTTTAAATCCTGTTCGTATTTCAACTTTGACCCGTCAGGTTAAGTAACGGGAATTTTATGGCAAAAAACAAGACCCTATTTGATGACCCCAACAAAGTACATGCTGGAAGACAGCACCAAATCTGCCAGACATGGCTCTCTCTGTCCTTTCTTGTTTCCCAGTGTCAGCGAAATGCAGCAGTTTATTTAGAAATCATGAAGTTTAGACATTGAGCAATAATTGCAAAACAGGTACACTGCAATAAACGACATGCAAAAACAAAAAAAAAAAACAAATATATATATATATACACACAGACACACACACACACACAACAGAAGTATTAATTTTTCATTGAAATGGATATCTATTCCTCAGCTGGGAATTCGATTTCACATTTCACTCTCTTTGATTGTAAGGATGTAATACGCAATGGTCTTATTAATACTTTAGTAACACGAAACTCAGGGTAGGCAATGGCATACTCCCATTCCACGCATTGGATGCGTTTTCACTGCTACCCAATTTTTCGACAATATTAGTGAACATTTACAATTATTGTGACTTTCTCCGCATTAGTACATTCAATAAAATTCTGCCGGGTTAACAATAACATATGGTACAACATCCCACCAAGTCCATCACATGCAACACAAAAAAACCACTTTGAATATTGGCCGTACAAACAAGAATGCAAAACTGAAAACACGGAACGAGGCTTCAAAAACCACAACAGAAGTCACAGCGGTGCCGATACCTGAATCCCTTCTTAGGCAATGTGTTTCTATCGAGCTGGGGGTCACTGCAGCAAAGTTAAAAGAGGAGAGATCATTTTCGTGGAGAAAAAGGAAGTGGAGATGGACCAGCCAAACATTACAGCGGAGGGGGGGGGGGGGGGGATGCTCAAACACAAACGTGCAAAAACACAGGAGCGTGTGAAACGTGCAAGGTGAACACTCACAAGTCACAGTTGTGAGGAAACGACACTCAGACCAGTGCGGATGTTAATGAGATATTTAAAGCGTAAATGCATTTGTCCAAAAATGTCCTATTATAAGGCAAGGCGGCAAAATCATCAATTTCGTAAGCAGCGATTATCACCAATGAGAGTCCCTGGACCTGTGTAAGTATCTAGAGCAGTGTTTCTCAACCAAAGTGCCGTTTAGGTTCTCTTTGGGAGCCGTGAACCAGTTTGCCCTGGATGTGAATGATGTGCTGCCACGGTTCAAGCTGGCCGTCAGCACCCTAACAACCAGTGAAGCTCAGGGGCAGGGGTGGACTGACCATTGGGGTACTTGGGCACTGCCCGTGTCAGGAATGGACTCGCCAATGGTGGTGGGGACTCATCTGCCGTGTGGGCTGCAGTACCAGGGTTGGCCAGCGGGTGCTCTCAGCAACCAGAAGCTCACTCCTGCAATCGGCCATCACCTGAGGCTGATTGCAGGAGGCATATTTAAGTAATGGCCAGACCTGCAGTCAGTGTCTTGGTGTATGTTTCCTATGAGCCCCTGTACCCTGTCTGCTTCCTGCCTGATTCCAGATTCTGCTTTGATCCGGACTCTGAATGAACTCCGCCTGTCCTGCCCCGGCTATTCCTGACCACTCTCCAGCCTGCTCCTTTGGTACCTTGTCTGCCTGATTGTTCCTGACCCGGCCTGTCTGACTACGCTCTTCCTGCTCCTTTGTTTCTTGTCTGCCCCGATGGTTCCTGACTCGGCCTGCCTGACCACTCCACCTCACCAGCCCTGACTGCTCTTGTCTGTGTACATTTCAGTAGCAGTTGGAGGTTTGGTTTTGTTATATTTGTGTATAACCTTTAATAAATTATACTGTTACACCAACTTGAGCCTGCGTTTCCCTGTGTCAGTTCACACATCTCTGGTCTTACCGGGAGCCCTGACAGCCCAAGGGCCTAGGGTCAGTAGGGGGCCCCATGAGATGCCCCTGGTACCTTAGATAGTCTTTTTTGGGTGTGGTTTGAGTGTGGGCGAGGACACAGGGGCCCCATGATCCCCTATTGCCCGGAGGCCCCATGAGTTGTCAGTCCACCCCTGCTCAGGGGGCAGTACCCATGGTGTCCCAGCCGTACCATGGCAATGCACAATGCTGATCCAGGGCAGACAGCATGCAGGGCCATCCACACCATTCAAGAGAGGTCAGAGTGCACGTCTTTCCAGGCCTGTTTCTGCCTTCTGCTGTGTTGTTGGAGTAGCTGTGATAGGAAGAGGGGACTCTATGATGGGGGGGGACTCTGATGTATAGGGATGTCTTCGAAGGGAAAGATGCGGATTCTGATGTGTTGAGAGGTTTTTTGGATGGGGGATGCTGCTGATGTGATGATGGGGGGGGGGGGGGGGGACTCTCCGCCAAAAAACCACGCTCTCTGATGTGTTTTGCCCCACCAACAGGGGACTTAGTCATCGATAAATGGTTTTGTGAATGAAGAAAAAGGTTGAGAAATGCTGATCAAGGGTGTGGCAAAACAGCTTTATTTATGGTCACCTGGGGAAAACGCACTATCACAGCCTGTGAGCCTTCATAGTCCTCTTAGTACAGGCTTCCTGCACAGTTAACAATTTAACATATACAGCTGTATTGCACAGTTCAGATGTAGCAACCAAAATGCCTATGTCAGCCTTTCTCAACCTTTTTAACCCCCAAGGAACCCTTACATTAATTTCCAGGTCTCAGAGAACCCAGCTAAAACCAATTTGTTGGTGGTCAGTGGGAAAGGTTCCTCATACAATGGTGATCAGTGGGAAGAATGCTCCTTTACATTGGGGGTCAGTGGGAAGAATGCCCCTTTACATTGGTGGTCAGTGGGAAGAATGTCCCTTACATTGGGGGTCAGTGGGAGAAGGCCCCTTACATTGGTGGAAAGTGGGAAGAATGCCCCTTACATTGGTGGAAAGTGGGAAGAATAATTCCAATATTGGTGGTTAGTGGGAAGAATGTCCTTTACATTGGTGGCCATTGGGAAGGATACTTCTAATATTGGTGGTCAGTGGGAAGAATATCCCTTACATTGGTGGAAAGTGGGAAGAATAATTCCAATATTGGTGGTTAGTGGGAAGAATATTTCTAATATTGGTGGATCAGTGGGGAAGAATGCTTCGTACACTGGTGATCCGTGGGAAGAATACTTCTTACATTGGTGATCAGTGGGAAGAATGTCCCTTACATTGGGGGTCAGTGGGAAGAATGTCCCTTACATTGGGGATCAGTGGGAAGAATGTCCCTTACATTGGTGGTCAGTGGGAAGAATGTCCCTTACAATGGTGATCAGTGGGAAGAATGCTCCTTATATTGGTGGTCAGTGGGAAGAATTCCCCTGACATTGGCAGTCATTTGGGAAGAATGTTCCTTACATTGGGGGTCAGTGGGAAGAATGTCCCTTACATTGGGGGTCAGTGGGAAGAATGTCCCTTACATTGGGGGTCAGTGGGAAAGAATGTTCCATACATTGGTGTGTCATTGGTTCAGTGGGAAGAATGTCCCTTACAATGGTGGTCAGGGGAAGAATTCCCCTTACATTGGTGGCCAGTGGGAAGAATGCCCCTTACATTGGCGGCCATTGGGAAGAATGTTCCATACATTGGTGGTCAGTTGGAAGAATGTCCCTTTCATTGGTGGCCAGTGGGAAGACTGGATCCTTACATTGGTGGTTGGTGGGAAGACTGTAACTTACATTGGTGGTTAGTGGGAAGAATGCTCCTTACATTGGTGGTTGGTGGGAAGAATGCTCCTTACATTGGTGGTTGGTGGGAAGAATGCTCCTTACATTGGTGGTAAGAATGCTCTTTACATGGTGGTCAGAATAACACCTTTACAGACAGCTGAAAAGATTACTGGTGTCATGTAGCTGGCTCTACCAAGTTAAGTTGGCCCTGGAACTATGCAGCACCATCAAACTGAAGATCAATCAGCCACAGCTCAAAAAACCCCTAACAAACTATGGAGGAACCCCAGAGTTGCACAGAACCCTTGTTGAGAATGGCTGGCCCATGTGGTCTTTGCAGCGATAACAGCAGATTGGAAATGTGTCGTATACTAATATGGGTCATCATGAGCAGAGCCAGTACAAGAATAAGGGAGCTAAAAAACGAATCAAACTGCATAGAGTGGTGATCATTTGCCTGCTATGCCTTATAACATTACAAGGTGTGGTTGGATAGGAGCTGAGCAGTATAAATATAATAACTGACACTGTTTCCAGCGACGTTAGGCTGTAATTATAGCGATCGTTTAGAAAGTGCGCACACCTCATGTGACCTAGATTTCCCCTAGTTATAACAAATATCGACTTGGCTGCCAACCAACCCAGGGCTTGTGCCAGCAGGGTGAAGGAGAATATATTAATCAGGCTGACGTGATGATAAACCTGGAGAAGCTTCTTCTAGGAGCTTGTAAGACTAGGGAAAAAAAGTTTCTTAAAAGGGATTCCAATCCAAATTTTTCAATTTTTTGGCACCAAATTTGGGTGGCACTCATAGAAGGGAAATATAATATTTAGATTTTCTAGCACATAAACGCACTACTGAGGCTATGATGGAAATTATGGGGCCCCACACAGCTTACCTGACCTTCCCCCAGCCTGGGTGTATGGCCCAGAGCATGGCTCCAGCCGCATGAACTAGCCACTCGTTCATGCAAACAGATTACCTGTGTGAATGACCTCCTAATTATGTTTTACTTTTATTTTTACAATTTAATTTAATAAAAAAAATTTTTTACAAGCCCTTGGGGGGCTTTGGTGAAATATCAGGGGTCTAAACAGACCCCTGATGTCTCGCTTTTCAGACAGAGAAAGTGATTGAGGACACAGATCCCTCAATCCCTCTATCTGCAGAATGAAGGGACAGGAAGTGGTCTGTACAAAGGCTCCCTGTTCATTCACAAATTGAAGCAGAGTTGGGGTGGGCGCATGCAGTGGGATCATAGCTACAGGAAGTTGGTTGAGCCAACTGTAGATGGGGGGGGGGGGGGGAGAGATTACTATAACCAATCCTACTCTGGCTCCCCCTGCAGTGGCTGGGAGAGGAGGAAAAGCCAGCTGCACTACATCAGGAGGAGGACACCAAGTTTAGAACGGTCTTCACCATAAAGCTGCCTGCCTCCCCCCCCCCCCCCCTATTGAACTGACGGGACCTGAGCCCCGTACAAGAAGGCTGGTGCAACCCCCTTATTGGCCGCCATGGATGGCACAACATGCCACCGCCTCACTGAACTCCCCCCTAGGTATGTAAAAATATTGGCACACCTGTTTTGGGTGCCAAGTAATGTCATACCCCCCCAGAAAAAAAAATATCACTAACTAATCCCTAAATTCTAATCCACGAACCCTAAGCTTGCAGTTTATCCCCGGGGAGGGAGTTATGACGATAGCGGTCACATTGATATCAGCACCGATATCACAAGGGAAGCTTTCTGCAGTAAAATACAACACCCCAAAAAAAATCTGCACCCCAAAACAAAACCCCAAATGTTTGTGCTGAACACTATCGGCCAGGGTTATGGGCATAGAAGGCCAACAGCGTCTTCAGGCACAACCCCTCCCCCCCCAATGATGTTGCAGATGTGCGGTTAGATCTACCTGGTAACAGGTAATTGTGATTGGTAAAGCAAGCATGCAGATATGGTAAAGCCAATGTTATGTTACTTTGTATGGAGAGTTTTTTTTTATTTTTATTTTTGGATAATAGGATCAAGAAACGTTCTGTCTATACTTAGTCTTAGGTTGTATGTCGGGGGTCAGAGGTCACCTGAAGAAGTGGGATGTTGAGCATATACGTGGCAAATGTTGTAAGCAATTTCAACCGGCCTTCACTTAGAATATTAAAAGAATGATAAAGTAGCACTGGAACCTTTAGAACTGTCCTTTTGGTGTCCATTCAGGTTGCAGCCGTGTTCAGTCCGGGGTTTCTGGATTCTGGGTTGGCAGTCTCTGCATGCCAAAGAATTTCCACAAAGTCCTTAGTTTGTGTTATAATTATATGAATGTGAGATTGTCGCACCAACCCTCAACCAGCTGCTGAGGAACTTTAATATTTAATTGGTCACTATACCTTACACATTGTGTTCCTTACTCAGTCCAGTTTAGTTTGTATACATTGTTTCCAGTCCTCAAGCCAGGGCCGGGACAAGGCGCGGGCAAGAGGGGCGGCTGCCCTGGGTGCGGTGGGGATTTGAGGGTGTATTTCTGTTAGAAAGGGGGATTTGTGCTAGTAGGGATGATTGGGGGGATTTGTGCTAGGAGGGGAAATTTGGGGAGAGGATTAGTGCAAAGATTGGATTTTGGGAGGATTTGTGCTGGGAGAGGGGGAAAGGATTTATGCCCAGAGGGTAAATTTGAGGGGTAGAGGATTTGTGTGGTTAGGGATGATTGGGGGGATTTGTGCTAGTAGGGATGATTGGGGGGGATTTGTACTAGGAGAGGAAATTTGGGGGAAAGATTAGTGCAAAGAGAGGGGATTTTGGGGGGATTTGTGCTGGGAGAGGGGGAAAGGATTTATGCCCAGAGGGTAAATTTTGAGGGGTAGAGGATTTGTGTGGTTAGGGATAATTGGGGGGATTTGTGCTAGGAGAGGAAATTTGAGGGGAGGATTAGTGCAAGGAGAGGGGATTTTGGGAAATGTGTGCTGGGAGAGAGGGAAAGGATTTATGCCCAGAAGGTTAATTTGAGGGGTAGAGGATTTGTGCTAGGAGGGAGGATTTGTGCTAGTAGGGATGATTGGGAGGATTTGTGCTAGGAGGGGAAATTTGGGGGAAGATTCGTGCAAGGAGAAGAGATTAGAGGAGAATTTGCACTCGGAGAGAGGGATTTGGAGGGAGGAGGATTTATGCTCAGAGGGGAAATTTGAGGGGTAAGGATTTGTGCAAGGAGGGAGGATATGTGCTGCTAGGGATGATTGGGGGGATTTGTGCTGGGAGGGGAAATTTGGGGGGAGGATTAGTGCGAGGAGAGGGGATTTTGGGGGGATTTGTGCTGGGAGAGGAGAAAAGGATTTATGCCCAGAGAGGAAATTTGAGGGGTAGAGGATTTGTGCTAGGAGGGAGGATTTGTGCTTCTAGGGATGATTTGTGCTAGAAGTGTACATTTGGGGTGGGGGGAGGATTAGTGCAAGGAGAAGAAATTAGAGGAGAATTTGTGCTGGGAGAGAGGGATTTGGAGGGGGGAGGATTTATGCTCAGAGGGGAAATTTGAGGGGTAGAGGATTTGTGCTAGGAGGGGGCATTTGTACTGCAAGGGGGGGGGTTTGTTTGTGGAGAATTTTGGCTTGTGGGGAATTTATTCTTAGGGGATAAGTGTGAAGATTAATGTGCAATTTTTTTTTTTTTTGGGGGGGGGGGGATTTTTGATGACACATAATGCTCATACATTTAGGGGGAGAGACGCCATTGGACATCTTCACCCTGGGCGTTAGATGACCTTGGTCCAGCACTGACTGAAGCCCTGATGAAGGGACGATCTCTGACTCCCGAAACGTGTTGGGTTGGTTATATACAACCAAAGCCAACCTGTTGGGTTTTATGACCGTGCATTAAAATGGAGCCATATTGGAACTTTTTAGGTAGTTGTAAAGGTAGAATGTTTTTGTACCTTAATGCATTGTCTGCATTAAAGAAAAATGGTGTTAATCACATCCAGTGAGCAGAGAGCGGGGGGGGGCAATGAGCAAGCTAAGTGCCCCCATAGCAAGCTGCTTGCTATGGGGGCACTTGGCAGGAGGGAGGAGCCAGGAGCACCAGCGGGGGAACCTGAGAAGACAAGGATTGGGTCTGCTTTGTGCAAAACCATTACACAGAGCAGGTCAGTAGGACATATTTGTTAAACGTGGACAATCCCTTTAACTCATGGCTTGGCGCTTCAAACTGGGATTCATAGTCATTCACAAAACTGAGTAATCAATGCAAAGAGCGGCAAACAATTCTGAAGCCATAACAGTCAGGTCGGTTGGCGGTGGGCTGCCTTGCCACTTAATTGGTTGGTTTTGCAATCAAATGCTGGTTGAAGAAAGGTAAAGTTGTCGTGTGTGTCCAGCTGCCATGTCAACAATCTCACCTAAAACACGGCCTGGCAGCTCCTGAGACGGAACAAGTGAGCGCTGAAGGTCAAAGAAACAAAAAAAAAATTGCAGCCTCAAGAGCTAGGAGACAGTGTATGAGGTCGGTTTGTTATGCAGTCTCAGGAGCTGGAAGACAGTGTGAGTTCAGTTTGTTATGCAGTCTTAGGAGCTGGAGGGCAGTGCATGGGATCAGTTTGTTATGTAGTCTCAGGAGCTGGAAGACAGCGTGAGGTCAGCTTGTTATACAGTCCCATGAGCTGGAAGACAGTGTATGAGATCAGATTGTTATGCAGCCTCAGGAGCTGGAAGACAGCACGAGGTCAGTTTGTTATGCAGTCTCAGGAGCTGGAAGACAGCTTGAGGTCAGTTTGTTATGCAGTCTCAGGAGCTGGAAGACATGTGAAGTCAGTTTGTTATGCAGTCTCAGGAGCTGGAAGACAGCGTGAGGTCAGTTTGTTATGCAGTCTCAGGAGCTGGAATACAGCTTGAGGTCAGTTTGTTATGCAGTCTCAGGAGCTGGAAGACAGCGCGAGGTCAGTTTGTTATGCAGTCTCAGGAGCTGGAAGACAGCGTGAGGTCAGTTTGTTATGCAGTCTCAGGAGCTGGAAGACAGCGCAAGGTCAGTTTGTTATGCAGCCTCAGGAGCTGGAAGACAGCGTGAGGTCAGTTTGTTATTCAGTCTCAGGAGCTGGAATACAGCGTGAGGTCAGTTTGTTATGCAGTCTCAGGAGCTGGAAGACAGCGTGAGGTCAGTTTGTTATGCAGTCTCAGGAGCTGGAATACAGCTTGAGGTCAGTTTGTTATGCAGTCTCAGGAGCTGGAAGACAGCGCGAGGTCAGTTTGTTATGCAGTCTCAGGAGCTGGAAGACAGCGTGAGGTCAGTTTGTTATGCAGTCTCAGGAGCTGGAAGACAGCGCAAGGTCAGTTTGTTATGCAGCCTCAGGAGCTGGAAGACAGCGTGAGGTGAGTTTGTTATTCAGTCTCAGGAGCTGGAATACAGCTTGAGGTCAGTTTGTTATGCAGTCTCAGGAGCTGGAAGACAGCGCGAGGTCAGTTTGTTATGCAGTCTCAGGAGCTGGAATACAGCTTGAGGTCAGTTTGTTATGCAGTCTCAGGAGCTGGAAGACAGTGCGAGGTCAGTTTGTTATGCAGTCTCAGGAGCTGGAAGACAGTGTGAGGTCAGTTTGTTATGCAGTCTCAGGAGCTGGAAGACAGTGTGAGGTCAGTTTTTTATGTAGTCTCAGGAGCTGGAAGACAGCGCGAGGTCAGTTTGTTATGCAGTCTCAGGAGCTGGAAGACAGCGTGAGGTCAGTTTGTTATGCAGTCTCAGGAGCTGGAAGACAGCGTGAGGTCAGTTTGTTATGCAGTCTCAGGAGCTGGAAGACAGCGTGAGGTCAGTTAACAGGGCATCGACTGTCAGATATCTGCTAACCTCCGATCCTGCATACCCAAAACTACATTTTCATAATCACGCCTGCAGTATTATAACAGCCCACAGGCTGACTATTCAGACTGTTGCAAAGCTCATTCATGACCGGTTCTCTTTACACCTCACTGCTCAATGTCAACAAATCCTAAAAGCGGTCTATAAATACGCAGTCAGAGCCGCTTATCCAAGCAGGTGAGAATGATGACGGACAACAGAGGTGATGACAAGCTGTCAGGCCGCATGCCAGAGAGAGAGAAAGCCGTCTGCCAGCAAGAAGCTCTCGATGGGATCGTTGCACTGGACCACAAAACACCGTGAATGGGAACCGCAAGCAACAGGCAGTGGCTCGTTCCCACAGGTAAGACGACAAAGAGCAGCCTGCCATGCGGACATAAGACGGGCGTTGTGTACAGCCATGACAGACGCAGTTACCTGTCCTGCTTCCGGGGAAGAGTGTTTCTGCTGAACTTAGGACTAGCACCAGGGGAGGACAGAGGGCTACGGCGACAGACCGACACCAAGCACAAAACAAAACAGCATTCAATTAAAAATCACAGATTAGAAAAAGGAAACAAAAAAAAAATCAACTCCGCCCCAACAATGGTTTTCCTGGATTGAATCGCCCCACTGGATACCTACATCTTGCGGTGATTCCAATGGTGGGAATTTCCCGTAAAAAAGATCTAACTCCGCCCCTCTGACCAAACCCCGCCCCAGCAGAACCCCTGATTATTGGGGTGGGTGACACCATCAAATTGTACTGGATGTGTTCCAAACCTGCCCCTCTGACCAAACCCCGCCCCAGCAGAACCCCTGATTATTGGGGTGGGTGACACCATCAGCTTGTACTGGATGTGTTCCATCACTGGAAACCCCCAAGAAGGATTATATTCGGAAGTTTCATTCAGTGTGCCAGCAAATGCTTAAATCTCACTTCTGGTATTAGTTGATGTTTAAATATTAATTCTTTTGTTTGGTAATTATATAATTTTCCTTTGATATACCTTTAGACTGCTTCGGCGGTGAATACCAAATGTATTAAAAAGTTATATAATTTTTATTTCGTATTTTTGTAAAAAACACAGCAAGAAAGGAAAAAATACAGAAACATAAAAACAATTTCAGTATTAAGAGAACTGAGATTCAAACTTGATTATATATTTGAAGTTACTCCCTACATGTTTCGCCCTCACAGGCTTCTTCAGGGGAGATTTTTTGAAGGAACTTCAACTGCCAAGGCAGTCTAAAGGTATATAAAAAGGAAAATTATATAATTAAATAATTATATAATTACCAAACAACCTTAAGGTTGTTTGGTAATTATATAATTTTCCTTTGGTGTACCTTTAGACTGCCTCGCCAGTTGAAATTCCTGCAAAAAAAATTTCTCCTGAAGAAGCCTGTGAGGGCGAAACATGTAGGGAGTAACTACAAATATCTAACCAAGTTTGAATCTCAGTTTTACCCTTAGAAAGGAAAAAATACAGAAACATAAAAACAATTTCAGTACTAAGGGGAAAACTAAGATTCAAACTTGGTTAGATAATTGTAGTTATTCCCTACATGTTTCGCCCTCACGGGCTTCTTCAAGGGAAAATTTTTTGAAGGAATTTCAACCATCAAGGCAGTCTAAAGGTACATCAAAGGAAAATTATATAATTACCAAACAACCTTAAGGTTGTTTGGTAATTATATAATTATTTAATTATATAGTTTTCCTTTGATATACCTTTAGACTGCCTCGGCAGTTGAAATTCCTGCAAAAAATCTCCCCTGAAGAAGCCCGTGAGGGCGAAACATGTAGGGAATAACTACAAATATCTAACCAAGTTTGAATCTCAGTTTTACCCTTAGTACTGAAATTGTTTTTATGTTTCTGTATTTTTTCCTTTATGTTAAGTTTTTATAACAAAAATACGAAATAAAAATGATATAACTTTTTAATACATTTGGTATTCATGTTCACGCACCCCGAAAGTCACATCTTCTCTATTGATATTTATTTTAAATAAGTAGCAATGATGTTTTTCGAAGCTGAAAAAAAAAAAAATGTGATGCAGGTGCCGCCTTCTCTGATTCCAGTGTACTGGGGAAGGACGGGCCCCACTGAGCCGGGGTTGTTTGGTAAGCCGTAAGACCGCCTGGAGTGGTATCCTTTGTTGGTATTCCATGTTTTAGATACACTTGGATTAAAAGCAATTGAAGTGAGCGCATAACTGTGATGGGTAAATAAAGGAAAGAGGGCTGTAAGTTTGTTGTGTAAATGTTGGAAGGAAGGAAGGAATTTTGTGCTGCGTCCCAATTTGCTGATTCACCATCAGCTGCGAAAGGCTTCACCGCTTCAGTGCAAACCATTCTATCCTTGTCTCTGTGTGTATCTGATGCGGGCTGGAATCCCGGCAGGAGGAGCCGCTACGCAATGCCACAGGGATACACGGCATTGTGACATTAGACAGGATCTACAATACACATCCACGGATGTATCAACAGGCAGCACATGGTTTCCTCACTATACAGGTGCACCTCGGTTTACGAAGTTAATGCGTTCTCTGAGATGTTTCATATTGAGAAAAATGCGCAAAGCCGAAACGCGGTTTCCCATAGAAATGCATTGAAAACCAATTAATCCGTTCCGGAGGTCAGAAATAAGTAAAAAAAAAAAAAGAAGTCGCTGTCACTATAGGTCGGTGCCGGTTTTTAAATGTAATTACCAGCTTTTTTTTTCTTCACTATAGCTCACAGAATCAGCTGTCACTTTCCCCCACAGCTAAAAGAAACAAAGTTTCTTTGTATCGAGTTAAAAGAAACAATGTTTCCTTTTAGTTTCTTAAAAGAAACAGTTTCCTTGTATCGAGTTAAAAGAAACAATGTTTCCTTTTAGTTTCCTAAAAGAAACAAAGTTTCCTTGTATCGAGTTAAAAGAAACAATGTTTCCTTTTAGTTTCCTAAAAGAAACAAAGTTTCCTTGTATCGAGTTAAAAGAAACAAGGTTTCCTTTTAGTTTCTTAAAAGAAACAAAGTTTCCTTGTATCGAGTTAAAAGAAACAATGTTTCCTTTTAGTTTCCTAAAAGAAACAAAGTTTCCTTGTATCGAGTTAAAAGAAACAAGGTTTCCTTTTAGTTTCTTAAAAGAAACAAAGTTTCCTTTTATTGAGTTAAAAGAAACAATGTTTCCTTTTAGTTTCTTAAAAGAAACAAAGTTTCCTTTTATTGAGTTAAAAGAAACAAGGTTTCCTTTTAGTTTCTTAAAAGAAACAAAGTTTCCTTTTATCGAGTTAAAAGAAACAAGGTTTCCTTTTAGTTTCTCAAAAGAAACAAAGTTAGCTTTAGCTCCAAAAAAAGCCGGCAATTGGATTTAAAATTTGGCACCGGCATACACTTCATATTGCGAAAAAAATGTGTAAAAAATTCATAAACCGAGGCGTTATTTTCAATGGATTTTCATTCGTAAACCGAAAATTACGTTTACCGAGGCGTTCGTAAACCGAGGTGCGCCTGTATTTGTATCCAACTAATGGAGGTCAGGTGTGCATTGTAAAGGAATTTCCCCAAAACATTCTGGGAGCTGGTCTAAATGCTTTCATTTTATTGGTTGGGGCCGCACACAAATCGCATGTGATTTGCAGAGGAACGCGGTGCGGTTCCTGTGTGAATCACATGCGATATACCGCACCGCATATATGTGATCCCGGGCTTAAGCAATAAAGTTAGGTGACCTCCCTACCCCCAGCCTGTAACTGGAGCAGCAACAGGCTGGTAAGGTCATCCCTCTGCTCTTTTCTCCTATAAGCACATTTGCACACAGTCAGGGGCGGACTAACCATTTAGGCACTCGGGCACTGCCTGAGGGCATGGCATCAGTAGGGGCCCCATGAGATGCCCTGGTACCTTTCATAGGCTTTTTTGGGTGTGGTTTTAAGTGTGGGCGAGGACACAGGGGCCCCATGATTTCCTATTGCCCAGGGGCCCCATGAGTTGCCAATCCGCCCCTGCACACAGAACACCTGATTGAACCCCAGTGCTGCCCTTTCCCTCTCCCAGTCTGAATGCTGCTGTACAGGCGACTATTAGTGGGTGAAATGAAGCTGAATTTAGATATATTGGTTGCGTTTAAAACAAACAATATCGAACGACATAACTGCTCTGTTGGCGTTTTGCTTTCATAACTGCCTGGAGTTCACCTTTAAATGGTAACTTTTCAGCACCGTGCCCCCCCCCCCCCCCCCCCCCCGGGGCCTGACCCGTGTTCCCCAACAGGACGGTGAAGAGAAATGCAGACTTGCTCACCTCTCTGACATTGCGGTCTTCACACTATTTGTCCTCACAAATCCAGACATGGAGTCATCCCGGGGAGATGCGGTCAGAGCGCTGGGCGAATTATTGCTGCTGAGGGAGATGTCGATCGATTCACAGCTGGTGTGAAGGCTGCTGATGGACTGAAACCCCAAACCGTCCTTGCTGACGGCGGAAGAGCTGCTGGCGTTGGTGCCCCAGGTTAAGCTATTGGAGGGTGCGGAATAGGCAGAGCCGGGGCTGGAGGCCAGGGGAGACGGGTTTAGATCCATGCCTTTCCCGTAGAGAGGGCTGCTGCCTCCGCTGCTCAGGATACCGCTGCCGGATGGAGAGTCTGGATGAGAGGAGATGCTCATGGTGGCGTGGGGGTTGGAAATGATCACAGAGTTTTTCATGTTCTCCGAAGTTGTGACCGGGCCTGGTTTATTGGGCTTTCCACCAAAAAGCCTGGAAATGGGAAATTAGAATTGGGATGTTAATGAAACCATGTCAGCTAGTGGAAGGGTGCTGTACATAGCTTCCTGGAAACATCACAGCACCCTGCTTCAGTATTCCTCCCATGATCCCTCAGTCCTGAAGCAAGCAGTGCATCCTACAGGGATTGCAATTGCGACCCAGTCCCATGCTCCAGGGGGCCCGTGCGGAGGGGCGGCATACAGAGGAACTGATGCCCTCCGTTTCCCTCCAGCTGCTGAAAGCCAGCTTTTCCTCCTCTCCATCCTGCACACATTCAGCGGCTGAAGAAGGGAAATGTGGGGGTATCAGTTCCTCCGTTTGCCACCCCCCCCTCCCCTCCTATCCAGGTCCTGCTGCCCTTTTGTGCTCTCCTCACCCCCCACCCCGCAGCTGGGTTCCCCCCCCCTACTCTCTCCCACTGGCTGCTGAGGACGATGTGTCAGGATGGAAAGCGGGGGAACCGGATGGTATATATGTCATTTACTGGACCCTTCCTTTTCTGAAAGGACAGAGTCTGTGATCAGTACTGATTACTGACTGTTCATTCTTAACTGAGGCGTAGTAAACGGTTTACTATGCTTCGGTTTGTGAATGAACAGGGAGCCTCTGTACAGAGCTGTTACTGTCCATTCATTCTGAGGCTGCAGAGATGTAGACGGAGGGCTGTGTCCTCAATCTCCTTTCTCTGCCTCATAAGGTGAAACATCAGAAGTCTGTTTTAGACCCCTGATATTTCACCAAAGACCCCCCAAAGGGGCTCACAAAAAAACTAAAAATAACAAGAAATAAAATGTGCAAAAAAAAATAACAAACTAAATTAAAATGATAAAAAAAAAAAAAACCTACTGACACCAGTGGCGGAACTATCAGGGTTGTAAAGGTCACACTTGAGACCGGGCCCTAGCGTTCTGCCACCGTGGGGGGGGGGGGTGGGGGGCAGGACGGCAGGGCCCACTGCAGAACATGCTACTGGACCGTAATTAAGGGTCAAAAGGAGTAAAGGGGCCTGGGATCAGTGGGAAGGGCCCAAGTGGGGGAAGGGGGGCCCTTCATGCTTTGTTGCACTGGGGGACCTGAAGGTTCTAGTTATGCCTCTGATCCTAGGTAATGCCCATATGTGATGCTGAGCTGGAATCCAATTAATTAAAGGGGCAGACAAGAAAGAATCAGGCATTGGGTATGCAGCATCATACCTGCGTAATGTGGGTGAAGATACATCGGGGTAATTTATTTCCCGTCTGGCGGGTACCACCAGGGGCTCCTTGTGATGCTGGGGTCAGTTTCACGGAGTTGCAGGACGCTACACTCTCATTGTCCGAGGAGATCCCTTTTCTCGCGGTCGGTCTGGTTTATCAATCCTGGCACCGAGTTTCCAAGGGTCACTTTTCCGGCCTCCCTCATTTTAGGGATGGGCAGCCCGGCGGACTTGCTGCTGATGTTGGAGTCGATGCTGCTGGTGCTCGATCGGTTTCCGGCGCCACTGCGGGATTTACTGGGCCGGGGTAAGCTGCGGTATTGAAGGTTGGTCCTGGCACTAAGCTGTAAGTAGCCATCATCTTGGTGCTGAGAGCCATCTATGCTGGCCTTTCGGTTCGCAGACCTGCCGATGAGTCCAGTGGATTTTGGCATTTTTCCTAAAGTAGCAGAGCCGCTGGTGATGGTGGCGCCACTGGCGGTTATGATAGGCATGCCAACGACTGTGCTTCCCGGCTTCTTAAAGCCAAATGTGTTGGTGTTTGCCGTAATGGCCCTGGAGGTATTGCTCGGAGGTTTCTTGGTCTCATCCCCACTGCTGCGTCCGGCGTCCGACGGAGAACGCTTTACCTGCGCAGACTTTGGAGAATGACGGCCTTTCTCAGAGACCTTGGCGTCGTCAGTTTTCCCCGTGCCTACGAATTTAAAGAAAGGACAAAATGGGTCGCTATGGGCATGGAGCGCGGTCTTTCCTCCAGACCTATGGGCTTTGAACTCTCTCTTACCTGTCCCGGGAGTCTTTAGTGTCCCCGATGGTTTGGTCCGAGGTGCCGTTATCCCCACCTGCGCCGTCATCCCCCTCCGCCAGGACCCAGTTTGTGAGATGACCGTGTGTTCTTCCTCCCGGACGTGCTTTTGTCAGACTCATCCGAGAGGTCTGAGGGGGTTTTTCCTCCATTTACAACCGGACTCCATCTTCACTCCGCTATCTGATCCACCATCTGACTTCTTCAGATCTTCGCCAGACCACAGGGTACTGCGGTCAATGTGCAGATGCTTCTCTGCATCCGTCTGCAGGGAAGATAAAGGTAGAAGGTTCAGACATGACAAGCCTTTCCACCTTCCCTAATATAATATGATCATACAGGGTTGTCACCAACTTCACATTGCCTACTTAGAGCTCTTCCCATAACTAATCTTTTATTCACGTGCAACAAGCCTTTGAACTTGCTAGAACATCTGACTAGTCATTTCCCTAGCACAGCCCCCCTCCCTACTTGCACGTCATAGACCCTCTCCTCTTTTGAGAGTGTGTCATTACTGTCTGCGCTGGCCCAGCTCCTCCACCCCTTCCCTCATCTCTCTTCATAATCTTGTGTTTCTGCCAGGGGAGCACTGAGTCTGCAGGGGCTGCTGACATCACAGCCAAAATGGTGGCACCCAGCAGCAGTCTCGGCTTTTGGATGTCTACACAAGGAAGGCTTTTACAGGTTGGGTTTTTGGGTGTTTTGGGGTTTTTTTTTTTCCTCTACATTTTCCCATTATTTCTTTCTCCTTTACATATGTGATGTGACTGATGATCGGGGCTTGCTCTCTCCATTATATATTTGATCTGACTGATGATCAGGGTTTTCCCTCTCCTTTATATATGTGATCTGACTGATGATCGGGACTCGGTCTCTTCTTTATATATTTGATGTGACTGATGATCGGGGCTCTCTCTCTCCTTTATTTGTGATCTGACTGATGATCGGGGCTCTCTCTCCTTTATTTGTGATCTGACTGATGATCGGGGCTCTCTCTCCTTTATATATGTGATCTGACTGATGATCGGGACACCGTCTTTCCCTTTATATATGTGATCTGACTGATGATCGGGGTTCTCACTCTCCTTTATATTTGTGATCTGACTGATGATCGGGACACCGTCTTTCCCTTTATATATGTGATCTGACTGATGATCGGGGCTCTCGCTCTCCTTTATATATGTGATCTGACTGATGATCGGGACTCCATCTCTACTTTATATATGTGATGCTTTCTGACTGATGACCGGGGTTCTGTCTCTCCTTTATATATGTGATCTGACTGATGACCGGGGCTCTCTCTCTCCTTTATATGTGATCTGACCAATGATCAGGACTCTCTCTTGCCTTTATATGTGATCTGACTGATGATCGGGGCTCTCTCTCTCCTTTATATATGTGATCTGACTGATGATCGGGACTCTCTCCTTTATATATATATATGATCTGACTGATGATCGGGACTCTCTCCTTTATATATGTGATCTGACTGATGATCAGGACTCTGTCTCTCCTTCATATATGTGATCTGACTGATGATTCGGGCTCTCTCTCTCCTTTATATATGTAATCTGACTAATGATCAGGATTCTGCCTCTCCTTCATATATGTGATCTGACTAATGATCAGGATTCTGCCTCTCCTTCATATATGTGATCTGACTGATGATTCGGGCTCTCTCTCTCCTTTATATATGTAATCTGACTAATGATCAGGATTCTGCCTCTCCTTCATATATGTGATCTGACTAATGATCAGGATTCTGCCTCTCCTTCATATATGTGATCTGACTGATGATCAGGGCTCTCTCTCCTTTATATATGTGATCTGATTGTTGATCAGGACTCCGTCAGCCAGATCACATATATAAAGGAGAGACAGAATCCTGATCATCAGTCAGGTCACATATATGAAGGAGAGACAGGGCCCTGATAATCAGCCAGATCACATATATAAAGGAGAGACAATCAGGATTCTGTCTCTCCTTCATACATGTGATCTGACTGATGATCAGGACTCTCTCTCGCCTTTATATAACAGATCTGGGAAACACTTTGAACATGACTCCTAACACATGACCTAGAATCATTTTCGTGTCCTGAACATGTGAATGGAGCTGACTGTTGGAGCACTGAGGGTGCAGTATTTCATGTGGAAGTATTTTTTGTTACAATGACTTATCTATTATTATTTTTTTCAGACAACTACACAGCCCTCTCTCTTATATCTTTATATTATGTGCAGTAAATCAATTGAAGTGCCTGAAAAGTCCCAGTGTGTGTGTCTCTAGTTCATGAGAAGTCCCTGAACTTGTGTCGGATCCTATAATCTGATTACTGGCGTCCAATTGTTGTTCCGTATGTTTGGGATTCCATCAGGAGTCTGCGAGACCCGTATCATTACACAGATGGTAGGTGGTCGGGTAGGGTACCTGCACGTCCAGGTTCTTCCTCGATGATGCTGGCGTGTTGGCATAGGAGCTGATGGAGGAGCTGGTGTTGATGTCATCGGTGCTGAGGTTGTCGATGGTATCGCTGATGCCGCTGCTCACCGAGCTGCTGTCGTCCCAGCTGAAAGAGACACAAGAAGCCTTTTTATAAACCAACCGCGTAGAAAATGCCAAAACAAACTGCAAAGCCCCTGGCTCCCAGCGAATCCCAGCACTCTGCGCCGCCATCACACCTCTGTACAGCACACAGACCTCACTTGTTATGAAATATCTCACTCCCAACACACAGGACCCAACCTAGGAGGCGCCGATGAAAAAAAACGGTTTTTATTAGAGGAAGAGAAAACCGGGAAATTTCCAACAGACAAAGTTATAAAATGCCCACCCGAACTCCCGCACATTTTATGGACAACATTTAAATGACCCCCTAAACGGCAGTTACCTCCTAAACTGGTTCATGCAAAAGTGTTTCATTGTATGAATATATTCCTGACATGTCACAATCTCCTAGATTGTAAGCTCCCAGGATCAGGGCCCTGCTAACCCTCTTGTATTGAACTGTATTGTTGCTGTATTGTCTCCCGTTATATTGTAAAGCGCTGAGCAAACTGTTGGCGCCATAAATCCTGTATAATAAATAATAATAATATATAAATCCTGTATAATAATAATAATATATAAATCCTGTATAATAATAATAATATATAAATCCTGTATAATAATAATAATATATAAATCCTGTATAATAATAATAATATATAAATCCTGTATAATAATAATATATAAATCCTGTATAATAATAATAATATATAAATCCTGTATAATAATAATAATATACAGCAGCAGTATTTTTCTGAAACGTTCCACCTTATATCATTTAAAAACCGTTTGTGAACTCCAGACTTGATCTAGCCTGAGATGTCAGCAGTCTGCTGCAGGCAGGAGGAAGCATTTCCTCAGTCTTCTCTCCCACAAGGGTCAGACTACAACACAGCGACAAGATGAGAGGCTGCCACAGGGGCTGATTTGTGTCAAACACAGCCAAGAACTGAACCGACACCTGGATCTACTCATCTCTGAGCCGGCATCACAGTACAGGAGGTAGACAGTGACTGTGGATGATGCCTGAACAAAGATGGTGCTGTACTTCTGAGCTGATCTGTGCCAGACATTTGTGAACACAGCCAAGAACTGAACACACACCTGGATTTACTCATCTCTGAGCCGGCATCACAGTCCAGGAGGTAGACAGTGACTGTGGATGATGCCTAGGCAAAGATGGTGCTGTACTTCTGAGCTGATCTGTGCCAGACAGGGGCGGACTGACCATTTGGAAACTCGGGCACTGCCTGAGGGCCCGGGGTCAGTAGGGGGCCCCATGAGATGCCCCTGGTACCTTTTTCATAGGCTTTTTTGAGTTTGGGCAAGGACACAGGGGCCCCATGATCCCCTATTGTCCGGGTGCCCCATGAGTTGTCAGTCCGCCCCTGGTTAGGAACCTAAAAGAAGCACACTATAATAGAAATACGCAGGCTGCCACCGCTAATCCCTTTCTGAAAAAGCTGAAATAGTTCCTGTCATGTTGAATGAGCATTCATGCTCACATAATGTGACTTTACTGGCTACATGCTGGTTCCAGGCAGTGCCAGGACAAGGTGCCCAAGGTGAAGATGCCAAACTGCACCCCTCCCCCTGGTGTGGGCACTCTGATCGTCTTCTGCAGACAGGATTATCTATATGGATACTACAGTTGTGAGGTGCAAAAAAGAAAACAAAAAACTTTTCACCAAACTGACACCCTTGGAGTACCAGTACCTGGTGCCGACCACACCCACCTAAGCATGCCACCAGTGAAGACAACGGACCTCACCACCGGTGAAGACAACGGACCTCACCACCGGTAAAGACAACGAACCTCACCACCGGTGAAGACAACGGACCTCACCACCGGTAAAGACAACGAACCTCACCACCGGTGAAGACAACGGGCCTCACCACCGGAGACATCACTGCTCCTCTGCTCTGCCTCCTTCGGTGAGGGGGGGCAGTCCCCAGGCAGCAGGATGGGTCAGATGAGAAAGGCGTGTGGGGGCTCTCAGCATGGTTGAATGTAATCTGAAGGCTGCTGCCCCCAACCCCGACACATAGAGACACTGTGCCCAGGGCAGCTGGCCCTCCTGCCCCCCTCATCCTGGCCTGGTTCCAAGTTGGGAATGAAAGGGGTGGGGGGTATTAGCTTG